AGAGAGAGAGAGAGAGAGAGAGAGGAGCAGCGCGAGAACTTCTGGGTAAAACAAAATGTCAACCTGCGTAGTTCGGCTCGATTCGAAAAGTTAAGCCGTAGCATCTTTGTAGACGACCAAATTAATCTACTTTTGTGTTTTAACATCATTTTTTATCTTTGTTTTCGTTAATTTGAACGTCCACACCGATAGAAAGTACTATTCAGAAAGAGACAGAGATAGAGAGAGAGAGATAGGAGTAGATCTTGCGAGAACTTACGGGAAAAACAAAATGGCGCCTCGCATAGTTCGGCTCGATTCGAAAAGTGAAATAGCCATAGCATCTTTGTAGACGACCAAATCAGCTTACTTTTGTGCTATAAACGTCATTTTTTTCTTTGCTTTTGTCAATGGAAGTGGTTATTCTCACCCCGGGGGTGAGAATCCATGTCTCGCTATTTTCAATCCCTCGTTTTACCGGAAAAGACTCTAGAGGAATCATGGCTGAGGTTAGCGGGCATGACCATGGGTTGGGGGGGGGGTCAGGGCTGATGCTCATCAACATCATGTTCGTCACAGTTCGTGTCTGAATAATCAGTCAGTGTTGTCAGTTTGGAGCCAAATCCCAGAAATTTGGCTCTTTTGGATCATGTCTGGCCTGCAGAATTTCATTAGGCTCTCTCGTCCTTTTTCGGCTCCAAACTCCAAATGTTCAACAAGAAAGGGAAAGATGAGGTAATAAAAAAAGAAAAACAAAGAATAGAAGAAAAACAAAATTGAAAGTGAAGAAAAGAGTTTGGACAGCTTAATTATTAAACTAGTTTTAAACACGATTTAACTATATATTATATAACGACCTCGCACATTGGGTCTGAATAATTTACAACCCTTCTACTGTCGTGCAAGAGCATATTTTATTGGCTCGTGCTTGTGTCACATTACGTTTGTAGACGCATCAGTTCCTTGAACCATAATTTATTGTGTGTAGGTAGAGAGTGAGAGGCTTGCCATCGCAGAGTGTGTAAACAACGAATGGTCCGGCCGGCAGCCATTCCCACATCCCACTCAGTAGCATCGGTAGTGAGCCTTTCTTCTTTTTTTTTATACTGGAGAGGCGAAAAATGTTTTTATATAATTATTAAATAATTATTATTCGTTCCCAGCCACATGCAGTTACAAGCCACCAAGGGCCCAGGGGATTTTATCGGCCTGCGAGAGGTCAGGGAGGAGTCCTCGCCTTATGCCCACACCGGGGAGGGAGTTACAAGTATTCTCACCGGGAGGTGGGGGGAGGAGGTGAGAATAGCGAGAAGCAGGGTTATTCTCACCTGGGGAGAGAATAAAGGTGGCCTTTGTCAATTTGATATTACAATCATCCACACTGATAGACAGTAGGCCTTTAATCCAAAATTAGGAAAAACAGGTCTTGTTTCACACCGGGTGAGAAAAGCCAATGATTGCAAGTCTCACCCGAGGTGAGAGGTCGATCATAATTTTTATTCTCACCCAGCCCGGGGTGAGGATAGCCACTTTGGACTTCAAAACTAAAAGATGCCTTACTGATATTCATGTATTTTAAACCTGAGAATATAATCTAGACCTAGATCTAGATCTCTAGATCTAAATCTAGCTAGCTGCTGGAGTTGGAGGAATCACAATTTGAAGAAAGGAACAATCATACAATGTCATAATTTCAATCGAGCAGTCACCCTCTCTATTTCTCTGCCTCTCTCTCTCTCTGTGTATCGCTCGCATTCTCTTTTTCTTTCTTTGTCTCTGTCTTTCTTTCTCCCCACCTATTTCTCACTCATCTTCCTCTTTTCCTCCTGCCAACTGGGGCATGTCATATTGCTAGCACTCCCCCCTGCTCTCTCTCTCTCTCTCTCTCACACACACACACACACACACACACACACACACACACACACACACACACACACACACACACACACACACACACACACTACCGGGTCAGGGCGCTGAAACTTTCGGAAATCACAAAGTCAAAATGGTTCCGTCAAAATAATTCCCCTACCGGGTCTGTATACTTCGTTACTTTGTTCCCGGTTACCAGGGCTGTACTGCAGTAGTATAGATCTGTATTTATATAATGGGAGTGTATACAGACCCGGTAACCGGGAATAAAGTCACAAAGTATACAGACACGGTAGGGGAACTCTTTTGTGATTTCGGAAACTTTCAGCATCCTCTTGGCTCAAGGTAGAACTAGATATCTAGGTTCTTCTAGATCTATGGCCTAGGTCTAGATCTAGACAGACAGATATAAATCATTGATCTAGTTTCGAGGCTAGCCTAGATCTAGACTGTAGATATCTAGATCTAGATTCTAGATATCTAGATCTAAAACTAAATGAAGATTGCGGATGTCTTTTCGATGAACGATCGTTTTTCCCCTGTTTTGGAGTTAGAGGAATCACAATTTGAAGAAAAGAACAATGTCATAATTTCAATCGAGCAGTCTCTCTCTCTCTCTCTGTATCGCTCGCATTCTTTTTTTCTT